ATCCACCGGTAGGAAATACTTTCTAAACTCTTCCTTAAAACCATCCCACGTGGTGAAGACCGGGTCTCCATCCCCCACGGGTTTCATCATACGTTTCCACCATGATAAAGCACTATCTTTAAGATAAAGAGAGGCTTGGAAGAGTCTTACCGAATCGTCCATGATATTCATAGCCCCAAAGTACCGTTCCATGCTGTAGAGAAAGTTCTCTACGTCCCTCAAGTGACGGCTGCCCTTATATTCGTCCGACTTGGGCGCCTCAAGCCTTGGAACCGTCCCCACGGCTCCGGTTGTCCCTTGCACGGCCACGGCGTCAAGCTGTGCCTTAAGACGCGCCGATTCTGCCCGAGAAGTCTCCAGCTCCCCCATAAGCCGGTTGACGTCGTCCTGGAGGGCGGCAACACGAGCAAGGCTTTCCTCCTTCGACTTGTTGCAACGTTCCACCATTTCATTGAGCGTCCCTAGCATGTCGTCCTTCATTTGCTGCATGACCTCTTGCAATTCCCCTGCGAATCGCTCCATGCGAGCTTCGACGACCCCTGCTACCACCTCAGGGTGCTCGTCCCAACGGTCTTGGTGGTCGGCCACAGCAAGCTCTAGCTTGGCAAGCCGTTTCTCAAATTCCACCATCGGCTCCCTAACGACCGACTTCTCCTTGCGGCTTCCTTTGCGGGTGGTCCTCCCACCTCGCGGAAACGTGATCCCCTCAAGCTCCGACCCTTGAACGACCTCCGAAGGGTTGGACATAGCTTATGCACGAAAGAAAACCGACAAACGGAAGCGTAGAAGATGTAGCACACCAAGTATCGAGCCGAGGCTCTGATACCAACTGTCACGGGCTTACTTTTTCAAAGTAACGGCCGTGCGGCACTAGCACAAAATAACTAACGATCAAGTGCTAGCTCAGCCTTAAGACCCCCAAAGCGTGCAAAGCTAGGCGAGACTTTAAAGAACGGAGGCAAAGAAAAACTTAAGAAAGGTTGAAAGTGAAAGAATGATGAAGGCACAAGAGAGCTTAAGGAATGCTTGAGAACTCTACTCAAAGCTTGGATGGATTACAAATGAAGGGGGCATGGGGTATTTATAGGCAAACCCCAAGTCCTAAAGAATTCTAGAGAATTCTATGTACATAATAAAATAATGGAATTCTAGAGAATTCCTACAATAAAATATTCTAAGTTCAAAATATCTACAAGTCTCTAGAATCTTCTACACGGTTCTAGCAAACTCGGGTAGCTTCCACACGGTTCCACCCGTTTCTAGAGAGTTCCGGGCCTCTCTAGAAAATTCCAGAGTCTTCAAGATTTGACCGGAAAATTCCACAAGGCTCTAGACCGTTCCGTCCCGTGTCCGTCTACGAAAATAGCCCGTTTCGCATCAAACCACCCGAATTCGTGGTGAAGAAAAACTGTCCGTGACATCGGGTTCAACCCGAACCCGAAAAAAATATAGTCAACCCAAACCCAACCTGTATAAATAAACAGGTCAACTTTCTTAACTCTAACCCGACCTGAAAATATTTAGGACACCCGTGACCCGACCTGTTAACCCGAAATTCTCAAATGAATTTCTATACAAAAATAAAAAATTTCAATAAACAAGATTGAGGTCTGAAGATCCAAAATGATAACCTTAAAATCCCAATTATCGAACCACAAATTACAACCTTGAAATCCAAATTACTAAACTGCAAGTTACAACTTAAAAAAATAAACATAAAAATAATGAATCTACTAGCAAAAAGGAAGAGAAGGAACTGAGGTTGGAATAGGAGCAGTCTAAATCTTCTAATTTGGAACCCGATACTAAAATTGCAAACAAGGAAAAGAGGAAGAAGGAGAAGAGGGAGGAAGTGGTGGAAACTAAGCCGTCCAATCGTCCGATTTGGACCCCATCTCTGAAATTGCTAAGAAGATGAAGATGAAGAAGGCGGAAGCTAAGTTGTCCAGATCGTCCGATTTAGATTCCGATCGAGAGGATGAAGGGTCGGCCGTCGCGATGAGAGAGAGAAGGTAAAAAAGAGAGACAAAGTTTGACAAATGAATCAATGGACCACTGAACTCGTAGATTAGGGTACACTTTCAACTTGAATTTTCAAAATCACCCCTACATATTATATAATTTACATGTTTACGGGTGACTCGGATAACCCGGTGGGTTGACCCGAACCCGACCTGTATAGTAAACAGGTCGATCCTAACCTGACCTGTTTATTATACAGGTCCAAATTCTCAACCATAACTCGTTTTTTTCGTGTCGGGTTCGTGTCGAAATTTCGGATTGTGTTAGAGATTGCCAGCCCTAAAGAGAAGGCGAAGCAAAAAGAGTGATCGAGTGACTTTTTTTTTTTTTTTTTGAGAAATAACATACTTGTATTGCATTAATAATTACTGGATATTGTCCAGCATGGGTGGAGATCTCCTGTAATACAAACTTTGTGCCACTTCCTGTGACACTTATCCTAATGTTGGCACGTGTCTTTTATTTATTTCCAATTATTTAATACGCAAACAATGTTAAGAGATTGCTTGGGCAGGAAAAAAAAAACAAACAAAAATGGAAAACCAAAAGAACTTCATTTCAGTCTCATCTTTCAAATTATCAGCATTAAGTTGCAAGAGGCAAGATCTATTCTTTTATGTGCTTTGACAATTTAAGCCAAAGTTAGAATTGCGTAATGATCTTTTGAGGAATTTTGAGAGATTGAGTTTGTTTCGGGTTTTTACAAGTTCAGGGCTAAACAGCGCAACGAACGGTGTCTTCGGCGGCGGCAAGAGTGATAGCACTGACAGCCCAAAATAACCCAGAATAACGGCGTCCCGATGGATATGAATTCCGATGGAGTATTATTTTGAATGTCTCCAGTCTCCACCGATGGGACATGAATTGACCTTCATCTTATGATGTTTCCCTAGCTTTTTCAATACCTAGAGAAGGAGAGCAACAACCATGAATTGAACAGTTGAGAAGCTTCAGAAATTCTATGCCTAATTTTATGAATTCCATGCCTAAACTTTTTTTCCGTTTGGAATCTGGCCATCCTAATCACTACCACTGCTGGTCGTAAAATCCAATAAGGAATAACCCATAAATCCCCAATCTCTCAAAAATCCTTATCACTGTGCTATTTGGATTTTGCCATTAGTTGCTTCTTGTTGCAAGTTGTTTCCTCTGTGAAGGATTTAGAAAACTAGATCAGAGAGCAAGGTTTTTTTTTTCCTTCATTCGTTTTAATGGTTCCAAACAATCCTTACTCTATATTTGAAGATTAATTGACTGAAAATAAATAAAGGACACATGTCAACATTAGGATGAGTGTCACAGGAAATGGCACAAAATTTGTGTCACAGGTGACCTCTACCCGTCTAGCAGCGATTGAGAAATAAAGTGGCAAATAACTTAGTATTATATACTTCCGATCCATAATAATTAGGGATTTGGATTAGGCATAATTAAGCTTACTTACTTCTTGGATTGGATTTTCCTTTTCTCTCTTTTTTTTTAAAAAAAAAAGAATTTCATTGCTATTGCTAGAAATCTCTGATTGAAACAGAACGTCTAACAACGACTGACGGGAGAGTAAATTCACTAAACTAATTACTAAACTATTACAATTAGAAATACAAAATAATATTTCTACCAACCAGTTGCTGTTACCGGGAGAAAAGATCCTCCAACAACATGACTCTATTGTTGGACATACAACGGAACAGATTAAAAATCTAAAGTCGAGTATGTCACCAACCATCAGATTAAAACTCCAATTAGAAAATCTGAATAACAGATTTACTGTGATTGAAAATTCTCAGGCCAAACTAGCCGTCATTAAAGACGACGTGCGGCAATCAACAGATCGAATATCTACTGAACAACACAAGATAAACAACAGACTTGGCTTTGTTAGCGCACTACATTCACTCAGTAAAGAATCGAACCAGGATTTATACTGAGGTTGAGAAATCCCATTTAATTGAATTAAAACATTAGGATCAAAACAACAAAAATATAAAACAAATTAAACAGAAAACACAACATCGGTCGCCGATCTGATAAACAGATCAAACCGACAGATTGCATCCGTAATACTGACGGAGAACTAAGCAGAACTCTGATTTCTCAAAGATCGAAACAAAATTGCTAACATCAGAGTTTTGAAGCATTGGAGTTGATGTGATGACACCGATGCATGGTGGTGGGGAGGCTTTACTGACGGTGGATGGATGTGTATTATCCTTTTTTTTCGGTGAGTAGAAAGAAAATAAAGATTTTACTGTCCCAACCACCGTTTAAGAGGTTGGGGAGGAGTAGCAGAGGTTTTTTTTTGAAGAGATGTTTTTCTCTTTTTGTTTTTTTTTTTCAAGAGAGGAGGGGGACGATTATTACTATAATGGATTTTCGTTTCTTTTCTTTTGCTTTCCTTAACAAAACCAACTTGTCAAATTCAAAAAGTATCATAATCTTTTTTTGGTTATCAATTCTTCAGATCCGAGTAAATTCAGTGGAATATATTTAAACATATAAGAAAGAGGTTCACCTTATTGCGAGATGTGGCGGATTGCTTGGTTGTATTCCTATATTTTGTGTTGACTGCAACAATTTTTTATTTTTAAATAATGAAAATGAAATTTCCAAGAACAAAAATGAATTATTATTCAACAATTTCTATAAGCAAGAAGAAAATGAATTATGCTTCGCGGATTTTTATAATTCATGCAATCAAAATAAAAAATTGAATGGAGGAAAAAAATTTGATTTGTTTCCTTTTCTTGATGGTTTTTCCAGAATTATTAATTAATAAATGTTCCATTCCAACATATCTTTTTACATTTTCAATACACATTTTTTACATTTTTAATACAAAAAACACTTAAAAACACACGCTGAAAAAATGAAACAAACATAAGTAACTCTTCTCTTCTTATTACCAACTCAGGTTTGGGCTTGTCCGAGCAGATATATATTTGGAAATGGACCGGCCCAAATCACTTAATCCCAGTCCAACTTCTTAGTCAAGCAAGCGATTGTTCTTACCCTGCCTGAAGAGTCCAGTATTGGCACTAACCCCCCGATCGCTCTCCACAGAAACCCTAGAAGGGTTTTAGGATTTTTCAATTCAATACTCTCTCTCTATATCAATCCTTCAACAATGGCAGAACAGAACGTGAACAATGAAGGCGCCAATGGATCAGAGAAGCTCACCCTTGTCGTCCGGAAGCCCTATTTCGGACTACCTACTGCCTGCCCGATTTGCTTGCCTGCCTACATTTATCTCAAATTCGCCAATGTCCGTTTTGATGTAGACTTCAATCTCGTCTATCCCGATTCAGGTACTCTTTCTTTTCGTTTTTTTTTTTTTTTTGAGCTTCTTTGAATCTTTTCCCGAGCACCGTAGAAGTTGTGGGTTTTTGTTTTTGTGCATTTAGCATTAGCTGGAATTTTCAAACTTGTGTGTTATTATCGAGATTCATGTTCCTTTAATCTGTGGTTATTGGTCGATTCTTTATCCGCTTTGTTGGATGAGGTACTTATTTCCTCCAATTTTTTGTGCCAATTGGGTGCTGCGTTTGAGCCTTGTTTTAGTGTTGTTTTACTTCTTTTATATGGCTGTCCATATGTTTTAGCTGCAAGTTTGTATCTGTATGTGAGGGTTAATGGTGATTATGAATAGTTTTTTGGGTCAAGATTCTACTGTCTAAGCTATCGTTTTAGCACCTACTTTTCAAATTATTTGCAAGTTCTTACTTTCTTTTGATTGTTCTATTTTCCCCTTCTGATGTTGTTTGAAGAGGATGCTTTTTGAAGCTTTAGTAGCTTTCTCGTTTTTCCTGACCTGTTAAATTTCTTAGTAAGCTAATCTGGATAAATAGTAATAACTATCTCTATGAGATTTCCAGTGGAGAACTGTGAATTTTCTCTTTAGTTAATGGTATCCACTCTGGGCCTTCAACTCAATATTGATGCGTAAAAATACAAGTGAAAATGTTTCTAGAAATGCAGTAAAATAATGTTTATCTTTTTCTTTCTACCGTCAGGGAAGAAATCATCTATTTGGTAAGGGTTTGCCCAAGTAAAATTTGATCTTAGGAATTGTAAAATTGTCCTCACGTTCTTGTTTGCTTCAGTTATGAAAATGATAAAGACCTTCTAATAATATGTTTGAGTTTCTTGAATTTGACTACTATGTACACTATTCTTTTCCCATTGGTTTTCTTAAGGAGATTATGATATATTTATTCTTTTTTCAGATCAAATACCTTTTGCAGAATATGGTAGCTATGTGGCCTACAACAATGAGAAAGGTGGAGTTATTCAGTGTTTGAAGAATGATGGCATTGTTGATTTGGACTCTAATGTCTCGCTAATCCCTGATTGGGTATCAACAAAAGCGATGGTGGAATCATGGCTTGCGGAAGCTGTGATGTATGAACTTTGGGTGGATCCTGATGGAAGTTCAGCACACAAGATATATTTTTCAGATCTCCCATGGCCAATAGGAAAGCTTTTATACTTGAAGAAAGTTTATAAGGTGAAGCAGCTGCTTGGGATAAGCAAAGAAAACTGTGAGAGAAGAAAAGAGGAGGTGCACTAGTTTTCATGATTTTTCATTTGTGGCTTCCTAAAGCAAGAAAATGTCTTCAGATTTTCTTTAGCATTCGTTTGGCATTAAAAGCTTGATGTTCCTTTTCTTTCCTGGACAGATCTATACCAGAGCAGCTACTGCTTATCGTGCTTTATCAACTAAGTTAGGCGAGCAATCTTTTTTCTTTGAGGACAGGTCTTTTAATTACATCTCATCCACGACTTCCTAGTTACAGGTCAATATTAACTTGGATTAACATCTTATACGTTTTGCAATGTAGGCCTACAAGTTTGGATGCTGAATTTCTCGGTCATGTGCTTTTTACTCTCTATGCATTGCCTGTGAGTAATTTTGCTCATCAATTTTTCGTTTCCTTTCTCTTCTCTTCCCTCTCTTTTTCTCTGGTTGCAGATCACATTTTATTAGTTGCGTGATTGATTACAGCTACACCAAACACGTATCTTATTCTGATGCCAAAACAGTGTGTTTCTGGAATGAAGTCTTTCTTAAAGTTAAAAACTTTTCGCCACTTGCACTGTTGAAGTAATGAATTATGGAATTTATATTTGACAGGAGTTATTTAAAATTTGATATCGATCAACTGTAGGTCAGTTGTTATCTAGAAAGGCTTCATAAATTCTGCAATTTTAAAGGGAAAAATATTTTTCTCATTTCTTCCTTTTTAGAAATATAACCATTAACCACGTGGAACCACACATGCATGAATGTGAATAGAACTGTGTTTTTTAAGAATAGGATAGTCCTAATTGTAGCTTACAGAAGATGAAAATGATGAAAGTAACATGGGTTGTGATTATACTTATGTGATCAAGAAACCCTTCGCTACGTTCTTTCTGATTCATTTCAATTGAACAGACTTACATATTGGCATGCATACCCACAGAAAAGTGAAAACACTTAAATATATGTTTCCATGAGCCAAAATTAAATTAATTGCCTTATTGTATTGGGTCCGAACCTTAAGCATGGGCACTTTAAATCCAGAAAATATGCTGTACTAGAGTAGGATGGTTTATTTAAGACAGTAGGTTTTCGTTATCTATGGTTTACAACAAATGAAAATGAGGAAAGTAACATGGGTTGTGATTCTAGTTTTTATGTGATCAGGAACAAACCCTTCGCTACGTTCTTTCTGATTCATTACACGTATTGACACACATGCACACATTCATATACACACAGGCACACGTATAATTCAAATATAGGTAACCTTTATGGCTTTCATTAAATGAAAATGATGAGAGTAACATGGGTTGTGATTATATTTCTAATGTGATCAAGAGCAAACCCTCGCTACGTTCTTTCTGATTCATTCTAACTATACAGACTTGAATATTAACATAGATATATATGCACAAAAAGAAACATGTATTCCTATGAGATGCAAAAATTTCAAATTTCAGTTTATTAAATTGTTTAAGCCCTAAATGATAGCTTACATAAGTTGGAAATGATGAAAATGGCATGGGTTGTGATTATTACCTGATCAAAAATAGGCCCTTCGCTACGTTCTTTCTGATTCGAACTATGAAATACCGCTCTATTTGAGATGAAAAATAGAACATTGTATTTTTAATATAGGAATAGTCCAATCTATTTAGCCTGCATGGGATAGAAGGATGAAGAAAACCGAGTTTGTGATTGCAGTTTTACGCTATCAGGGAACGTGCTTTGATTGGTTTTGTGTGAGAGTTTAGAGTAGTGAATAACCTGCCTGCATTAGAACAATGTCGAAGAAAACAGGGGCTGTGCTTTGATTAGTTTATGTGATAGTAGTAAGGAACATTTTTATTCAGAGCAGTTTTTCTTACTGAAATGTTCCAGTCTCGTCACTTTTGGCTTAGATTGGAAACATGTGGATGCAGATATTCTAGTTTAGATTAACTTCTTTCATTGTGTGAGATGATACTTTTTCTTAATGACGTTTATTTTGTTCGATAAAACTCACCCACTTTTGCATTCGAATAGGAGACATCATCGCTGCGAAGTAAGCTGTTGGAGCATGCAAATCTTGTAAATTACGCAGAATCTCACAAGCTAGGTTTCATAGATGCTGCCCCCCAGTCCCAGTCTGATCCCTCCTCCTCAGCTCCTAAGAGAGGTCCTTCAAGTTTTAGTAAGTTGCCCTTCACTTAGTTTTTTGTTTTTATTTTCTTGTACATATTTCCTTAGTTATGTAAAAGGATTATTGTTTACAAGGCTCGTTCTGCGCTGCCTCCTTATTACTGATTTTCGTTACTAGATAAATAAATTATTCTGTCAGTGTTGATTTTGGATTCGATCATTTGAATTGTGTACCTGTGGTTGTATGAAATAGCTTCATATTGGGATTCTTTCCTCCTGTTTTTCTCGCCCATTAAGACAGAAATGCCTTATTTCTGTATGAGATTCTCAATTTTGCTGAAATCTTATTCATGTGGCATTCGTTATGAAAATAGACCTAACTGCTTAAATCGGGTTATGCTGTCTGTATTGGCCTTCATTTCTTCTGCAGTAATGGAGGAAAGCTCATTAAGTTCATCTCATGATTTAGTTTTTAGATGTAAAATGCTTGGAAGATTGTATTTTTGTCGGGGTTTTGTTGTTTGGGGTTGGGGGGTGCGTGGCTGTTTGAGTGGATTTGTCACAAGCCGGGGGATTGACAGTTGAAATCTTTGCGGGATCCATTTTCTTGAAAAAGAACCGCGTCTTTGACTTTCCTATTTAGCGTTACCCCAGCTTTAATTATTGAGGTTTTGGATGATCACGTAGATATGCTTGATTACTGTTTGATATTCTGATGAAAATGCCCGTAAAATGTTTCTGACATCTGCACTATAATTATAAGCCCACTGTTAAAAGTTTTCTTTTGAATGACAACATTGAATTCAATCTTATGGGCAACTAGAATGAAAGCTTAACTGAATGGTGATGCATTTAAGGCATGATAATTCATTTTGATAGGAATATTCACTAAGCTCCAAACAGGATCTTGAGGTGAAAATCTTCTCGGCAACCCTTTCTCTCCTGCTTATTAGTTGTATGACGATTATGTTTTTATTTGATTTGATCTTTTTGGTGTGATGAAAAGCTTTTAGGGAAGCCCCCATAGTCCGTCTCCTATCTCCATTCCTACATCTCTTGTGATTTTTCTGTGTTATAAAACTGCTAGTTGCCTGCAGTCAGAAACAAGATATATTACGAAGATGATATCTGAGAGAGAGCTGAACACACGTGTTAGATATGAATTTGCCAAAAATTTGCCATTGGGAGACTATTGGTGATGGTTTTTAGAGTGATATTCAGGGTAAAAATTAATGAATGTTGTGAAATCTAATACAAGGGGTCTCTAGTGCTTGAGTTTATTAATCTTCCCGACACATTTTTTGCATATGGTCCTTTACAGCCTGTTTTCAAGTCATTAAGTTGTACCAAGATTGAAAAGTAAATTCTTCCTGAACTTTCTCACCTGTTATAAGTGTATGCACGTTGCTGATGCTGTTCCTTTTGTTTATCGCAGAATCAAATCCCAAGCCAAAACCTAAGAGAGAAAAGACAGAGGAAGAGAAAAAGTTCCGTAGGAGAGCTAAGTACTTTCTGGTAACCCAATTAGTTGCAGTATTGGTCTTCCTCTCCCTTCTTGGTAGGCCTGATGACGTTGATGTAGAAATTGAGGATGGTGATGAAGGATATGATTACGATTAACGGAGTGAGCTGTTTTGGTTGATTCATGCTGTCTGTCTATAGGACATGGGTTTACTTGGGTAGGTGCCGCCGGTCAAACAACCATTTTCGTTAATAATATTACTTTTTTTTGTCCCTTCCATCTCTGTTTTGGAAAATTTCTTGTATATTCATCGATCGAGGGCAAGGAGCCGTTTGTTTTATCATCTGAAAACGGATTCAGGAAACTAATTTGAATGCTAACGGATTGTATTCGAATTCTGATGGACAACGGTTCTAGAATCAATAATATAATCATTTGCTGTAAAATGATTCTGTTTTTCCAAACTTTCAGGTTTATTCAGTGCTTGGCCAAATCGGTTTTAGTGACAGATGCAATTATTAGTGTTACACATCTGACTTGTGCTATTTTCGTCCACTCGCAAAAAACTGGCTACCATTTCGGGAATGATTCAATTTGACACATTGAGTGAATATTGAGTAGTCAAATCGTTTCTTCTCTAATCTAACGTATTTGGATCTATTTAGTACATTTTACTATACTAAAATCATAATCTCCATGTCTTATAAAAATAGTTTCCATTGTAAATTAAAAAATATATTATTATTAATACAATTCACAATTTACATTACAAAGAACTATAAAATACTGTAACGTAATAGCATATTGACGTTGAGAATTAAAACATAATAAAATGATACATTTTGTGTGTAAAAATTTAGTCACTTATTTACATTACAAAGAACTATAAAATTATAAATTAATCCCACATACGATGGGGACCATTTTGATAAACTTAGGTCGCAGGGTTAAGTAAATCGGTAATATGTAAAAGCTTGTAACATTTATTTATTTTCTTAGAGAGGGCCACGTACAAAGTGTTTTATTGAAGCAATGAAAAACACACACACAATAGCAAACCGCATCCATAAAAGGAAAGATAAGCGTGCCTGACATGTGCTTAAAAAAACTTCACTCACTATATCAATATATATTTTTTTTTTTGTCCCACAACAATAGTTAACATCATAAATTTCAAATTGTCATAGAAATTAATAATTTAAAAAAATCATAATGTTAACTGTTTTTGTGTGACGGAAATAGGATTTTTAAAGACATAAAAGGAAGACTATATATATGATCCCATCGATGGACTCAGCAATTACGATAACAAAAGCAGGCAAATCCTAGGCCACTTCTGTGACATGCTCCATGGACAGCCCTTTCCCATTTCCTGCATTGATTGTCACAATTCTCAGATTTTATGCAAATTCCAGTCCATGTTTTGCTTCTCCACGAGCAAAGTCCAGCTTCTGCCACTTGGGATTCTGTTTCCAATAATCCAGATTATTAATTGGGTCAATATATGCTACTTTGTGTTTGGATATGGAAAATTTAATTTAAGAATAAACAAAGAAGTTCAAAAACAAAATCCATACATGTGTAAATTAGCATAAAAATGAGTAGATAATAATGGTTAAAAGACGTGGTAGGGGATGTAAAAAAATCATTTGAAACTGACCAAAAGAAAATAACAATGTTCAAGAAATTAATGGCAGAAAATATAATCAAACTGACCATATGAAACAATGAGGAAGAAGCAGAGAAGGAAGGCAACCAAAGTAACGTAGTTTACTCCACGATTTTCCATTTTTGAGGCCTCAAAAGTGTTTTCAGATTCTTTGTGAGAGTAAGATGAAGCTGTGACATCTATTTATAGATACGAGTTAGCTACTATTTTTGTCATCTTTTCTATGGGGAAAACATATTTTCGGGACAAATATGATATGCTCGAATTTAAGAAAACGGCACTGAAAACTTAAAAAATAATTTGTTTCTTTTTTTTGGGGTTTTTAGCAAGATAGAAAACATGAATAGTATTAAAAATTTAAACACGTCTTTTTCCCCAAAAAGAAAATAATAAAAATAAAAAATAAACACGTCTCCCAGGGGCATCCCGAAGGGTCTAATTTTTGAAATTTAATTTTCTAATTTAGGCTTTATTGCTGCCGTCACTGCTCGATCTGATTAGTATTACCTTTTTTTTTTTTTTGGGTTGTTATCATGATTAGAACTTTGGAGGATCTTTAAATGTTGGAAACTGACGGCAAAGAAAAATCTAATAAAACTGGAAGCCCATAACGCAATAATCCTATCTATACATGCTCCCTTAATTATTAGGAAAAAAAAAAAAACAAAAGGAACGGTCAGGTTTGAGTTTTAGCATAAAAATTTTATGATATTTATGTCTTTTATCGACTCTTACTATTTTTTATTCACAAAAGATGTCGTTGTACCAAGTTAGTGTAATTTTTTTTTTTGAGCTTTTATATATAACTAAATGGATCGAACGCGCTTCGCACATGCTGCAATAAAAAACAACATGAGTATAATAATATATATGTTAACTCTAAATATGTAATTATGACATGCTTAAATTTGAAGAGAGAAACAACAAAAGAATGCTCCATTATCTTATTTTCATAATTTATTTTATTACAATAATATAGATGATCAAAATAGAACTGTGTATAATTTTTCTCACATAAATTTAATTTGACATTTACAACAATAAATTCAATAACCTGAATATGTGAAAGAGAGTCATGGTTTCAAAATGTTTGGTGAAAGGCTAACGAATTGTAAAGTATTAATCGCATTAAATTTTACCTGAAATCAAGAAGACGCCTGTGATTCAAGAACAATTTAAATTTTTTTGTTACAACGTTCATTCATTGCTTTTGGATTTTGCAATTTAACTTTATGTTATCTGATTAGCTAAACATCAGCTTCCCTACTTCTGTTCGAATTCAACTTGAACTTTCAATCAAATTGTTAAAATATATTTAAAGAACTTGCGAAAGAAGAGAAAAAAAAGAAAGAAAATCAGGATAAGCAATAAATGGAGAAGAGAGAAAACCAACATAAAAGATGAATTAGAATTGTGGTGCTTAAATAGTTTTTAATAAAAAACTATTGCAATAAATGTTAAAAGTAAACAAAAGGACACATGAAGAAGTTGTTACAAGAGATAAAAGGAGATGAAAAGTATAACATTATTAAATAATAGAAGAAAAATATATATGAAATTTAATATCGACAATAAAGAACTGAAAATGAAGGGAGATAAAACGTATACCACACATAGTAAATAATAAAAGATAAAAAAGGATGAAAAATTTAATAATTGTAACAAAAGATCACAATAAATGTTGAAAAATTATAGGAAAGAAAATATGAAAAAAAAAACCGAAAAGATACAACATTTTTAGTTTAAAAAAAAAAAACTAAAAACTAAGCAAAACATAAAAATGCATGTGAAAATCATATGAGAGAACTATAAAAAATAATCTCACATTCTCCAATTATAATATATGTTGATAAGGACTGATCCGACAAATTTTTAAACAATGGATACTGAATTATTGATATTGATTAAAAATATGTTAATTAAAAAGAACTAGAAATGTTATTCATGGTTAAAATTTCTCACTCTTTTCCAGCATGCGATTCCATCCCTGAACGAAACTAGTCCTCCTAGGTTCTCATACTTTTGGGGATCCAATTTCCTTCCTCTATATGAATTTATACTTTTGTTCAAAAGAAAAACAAAGACGGATTTATATTTATGAGGACATGTTGATTGATCATTCATTTTTAAAACCAGTACAGAAACTAGGGTTGGGAAGCCAATTGTTCAAGTTAGTTGGTATTTCACCTATCCTTCAAGATATTTCCACTTAAACCACTATGCACTTCATCTCATCTTACCAATTAATCTACCTAACGGAGTAACCATTTTGATATATAATATCCTCCTAATCTGTTGTCTGATTAATCTGGATCGACTTTAGGCACTTACTGCAACACAAAATTTTCTCATAATAAATGGGGTACTTATGAATAATAATATGTCCATGCTCGAATTTGAGAATGGTCATACACATGGCGATCATATTAACATACACATGGAGTACTTTATAAGATGAACTGAACTAAGTGTTTGTTGGTCTATAATCGGTAATCTTTCGTAAATTTTTTGCTGTTTTCAAAAAATAAAATAATTATCAATACCCTAAATTTGTATTGTACATTATATATGTTACATTATTTATGATTTACAGTGTTAATTATTTTATGGGAGGAGGGAGAGTGAATTGGTAGGATAATCTCTAATAGATACTGCTTAGATTTTTTGGGCCCTTATGTACAAACGTGGATACAAAGAACCGACAAGCAGATGAGCATTCTCGATATTGTTTCCGATATATTCAGTGAATAAAAAAATTCGATGAAATTAAAAGAGTGATGAATCATTGAATCGTCAGTCAACAGAGACAATAGCTACTAAAAAGTCAATATTCTCAAAAAGAAAAAAGCCGCTAAATTTGACACTTTAAGGTCCAAGTCCAATGTATCCAACTACTTCCTAACACTATTTGCTAATAATAACAAAGTCAGACAGAAATGAAGCTTGACTTATATAAATTATAAATTCATAATATCTACAAATTACTAATCTCGTAAATTAATAATTTTCTTCGATGTCTAGTTGGACTCCGTAAAAAAAGTGTAATCCATAAAATAATAAGATAATAGTTTTTCAGAGAATTCCTACATAAATATATGGGTGTTGTCAATATCATAAATAATACTCACTCCGTCTCATAACTATTGTCCAGTTTGAATTTTCATTTCTAGTTCAAATTGTACTAAAAGTGAAATTTCAAACCGGACAATAATTATGGGACAGAGGGAGTAATAACTTGCAATAAAAAAAAACTAAGAATTAGTAAAATATGAATTTTGTAATGTTTGTTTTCTCTTGAAATTTCATCTTTGATTTTTTCTATTACTTTTATTACTCAACTACAAATAAATAAGAATGGAACGATATAAAATAAAAATTAAAATACTACTCCATCTTTAGGAAGAGAACAACGATGAAAACAGTTGTGTGTCTGGAAACAAACATTACTCGTAGCTTAGTTTACTCGTAGTTTGTGGACTCCCGCAAAAGAAACCATAGATTTGATTTGATATTGTTGGATCAATTGCAAACAAATTAATGAAACTCCGTTTCAAAAAAAAAAATAAAATAATGGAATAATGTACTCTTTTCAAGTACAATAACCACAAACTAATCTAAAGGGGTACATACGTCAATCAAACACCAGGCGAAGTAGCTTAATTTGGTCCCAAGCTTTTGCGATGATGCCTGTTTCATCCAAAATCCAAATGATTAAGAAAACAAAAAATGATAACATCCCAAAGCATTTACATCAGTACCGTCAATTAAGTTTTGTACGAGAAATAGTACAAAAAATTATGAGTATAGTGTAGAAGAATTCTGTTTTCACTAAAATTTGATTAGG